GGGCTGGAGAACCGCCTGCCAGGTCTAACCTCTCCTGCCTACCTTCCTCTGGGTTCATACTGGGGGCCAAGTCTGCGCACACGTCTACCCTGTCTCTCCCGGTGACAGCGCCGCCCCTGACATCCGGCCCCCATGCTCCCCATCTTCTACTCCACTACCTTTGACCCGCGCGCTCTTGGTCTCGAATTTGGTTAGCATCCTTCAGGCCCGCGGCTCCGAGGTCCCAATCCGAGCCCCGTCACTCCCCGCTGCCCTGCAGTTGCCTCCACGTCAGCTGCCCTCCACCCGAGGCTCCCGGAAGCTCCTCTGGACACGAACTTCCGGTCCCTGGAGCTCCGGGCCACCGAGACCGCACCAGGGTTGGGCCTAGAGAGGCCACTGCCGGACAGGAAGGGAACAGATGCTTCCGCTCCGCGGAGAGGCAAGATGGCCACGGCTGGGGGCGGCTCTTTGGCTGACCTGAAAAGTCGGGGTCTTCTTCGCCTTCTGTCTTTCTGCGTCCTCCTGGCAGGTGAGGCCTCCCCCACCCGTGAGCTCCATTCTTGGAGGAGAACCCTCCGGACGGGCACAGCCGCGAGCGCCGCCGTCTCCCTTCTGGTTCCCGTTGCCCCTCTGTCCCCCCACCTTGTATATCCTCTTTCTCTTTCGTTCCCACGACAGAAGTTCCCCTTTACCTGATCCTGAAGGTCCCTTCTCCTCTGTGGCTCGTCGAATCGCCCCATTCTTCCTCCAAGCCACCTCCTGGACTTTATCCGGATGCCTCCTTTCCCCCGGGCCCCAGCCACCCCACCCACAATCAGAAAGGACAGGTGTCAGTTTAGCTTCCTCCCCAACGCGTTTAGACATTTCAAGCTGAAAGCAACCTCGTTCTGTAGGGACAGTGCAGCGCTTACTAGAAAAGTAGATTCCCCATTTACTTCTCTGTTGACTCCACTATAAACCCGTGTTTCTGGGCTTTACCTCAGTTTGGCTCATCAGTAAAGTGAGAAAAAGTAGGACATGGGTACTTTTACTTCTTGATGTTCAATTAATGTTTATTGGATAAATAAATAAATGAGAAATCTGATGATACTAATGGAATTCTTGTATTTATGTAATGACTTCCAGAAATTTATGTGCTGGGTCTCAGTCTTCTAAGGGAACTACTTCACCAGCATGATATAAGTTTGATCTGTATCTCTTTCAAGTCAGACCAGTTAGTGCACTGGTGCAATTATTTTCTTTTTTAAAATTTATCTTTATTGTTGAAAGTATTACAGGTGTCCCTCCTTTCCGCCTCCCCCATTGACACACCTTCCCCACCCCACCCCCTTCACCGCACTGTTGTCTGTGTCCATTGGTTATACATATAAAATTCTTTGATTTATCTTCCCTCCACCACCACCACCATTACCCTTCCCTCTGAGGTTTGTCAGTCTGTTCCCTGCTTCCATGTCTTTGGATCTATTTTGTCTGTGGATAAAAAAGCTGTGGTACATTTGCACAATAGAATACTATGCAGCTGTAAGAAAGAAAGACTTCTTACCCCTTGAGATGACATGGAGGGACCTGGAGAGTATTACGCTAAGTGAAATAAGCATGATCTCACTTATCTGTGGGATATGGGTATTCTTAATTGTTTGGATCGTGAAATAATGATTAAGGGAACTTTAGGCATTTATAATGGTATATGGCTTTTCAGTTTGTCGGGCTTCAAAATGTAAACATGCCTGTATATAACCATGATCATACCTTCCTCAAATTCACATTGGTTTCAGAGATTCCCAAAGGAGAAACTATAGCCACCCTACACTATGCACACACACAAATCAGCTACTGATGATAGATTAGCTGACAGGTGTGTGGCATAAGTTTTCTCCCAGTTCTATTCAGGATCCTGGAAAAATGTCTCAGAAAGATTTTTTAAATTGCAATCTATATTCTTAGATTAGAATCCTTTTTATTAACTAATTAGTAATATACATACAGGCTAGAAAAGTAGAAGTGTGGTCACCCATGCAACCAGAACCTGGTGCATCTGAGGTTAAATGCTTTTCCTTTGACAAATGACGTTTTTCTCTCTTTGAGCCTCACTGTTGGTTGCTCTATGTAGAATTTGTAATAACCCTCTGAAGCGCATAGCTGGGTGTGTTTATGTGTTCCAATAATGTGCCCAAGAAGAAAGAATGGATGTTAGTCCCATTTCAGAAAGTGTGATATACTCAAGCCATACACTGAGGTAATGACAGGATGGAGACTAATGCTATCATCTCTCATTTTTTTCTAACACTTTTTATCTTCTGATCAGGTTTATGTGGGGGAAACTCAGTGGAGAGGAAGATCTACATCCCTTTAAATAAAACAGCACCCTGTGTCCGTCTGCTCAATGCCACTCATCAGATTGGCTGCCACTGTGAGTTTGAGGTTGGGAATTTGTGTTTGTGGCTGTTGATATTTCAGTCTGTGCCCTAGATACAAAGATCCAAGTCCTACTTGAGAGGCTCAGCACACAAAATAAACTATGTGGGTGGGAGCTGGTAGAGAACTATTTGTCAAACCAGGCAAGATAATTAGGAAAAGCTAACATTTAGTAAATGCTGCATGCTAAACTTCCTAAGCATGCATTTCATCTACTCCCCATGATGTAGCTACTACTATTATTTTTTGGTTAATCCTCACCAAGGATATTTTTCCACTGATTTTTAAAGAAAGTGGGAAGGAGGGAGGGAGGGAGAGAGAGAGAGAGAGAGAAAGAGAAACATTGATGTGAGAGAGACATAACGATTGGCTGCCTCCCGCACGACCCCAGCCAGTGCTGGGGTTCAAACCTGCAACCCAGGTACATACCCTTGACCGGAATTGAACCCACAACCCTTTGGTCCGAAGGCCGATGCTCCAACTGCTGAGCCAAACCAGCCAGTGCCAAAGTGGCCTTTTAAAGGCAATGGACTATTTGAAGAGAAGGTATTGAGAAAGTCAAATAATTTTGAGAGGAATTAGTAAAGCATTTGAATTTGCTGCTTTTTAAATGTGTTCCAAAAGACGGTACCATGACAGCATGCTTATAAAACTATGAATGGGGAAAAAAGTTGTGATCTAAAGGTTGAATCCCAGTTCCCTTTCTATTTAAACTGCTATCTTCAGAATTTGTTCTTCTGTGGATAGTAAGTAGCTCTGTCAGAATGTTTTCCAGGTAAGCAGGAAACAGAATCAGATCTTGACTCCTTCGTCATGAAATTGGTCATCTCTGAATTTCACTTCTGTGAAAACAGTTACACAAAGCTGAAAGTCAGACTACCTTTAGTAGCTGTTTATTGATGATTCTGATTAAGTGGTGTGCTCTCAGCAGTACTGTGTAACTTCCAGTAAACCTTCCAGTTTGGTAGGAGAAAACTGGAACACTAAGAAGTGAAGGACTTGCTCAAAGTGGCAGTTATTACTTATCTACCTGTCCTTCCCTGAGTTATTCTCTGTTCACTGCCCCATGTCTCTGCTACAGTAGGTGCTGGGAGTAGGTTAACTGGTTCCTGACAGTTCCAAATAAAATTTTTGTTGGACTTAGTGCTTAAACTGGGTCTGTGGGTAGAAGGGAGCCACGTCCATTGTGGGCTGAGATCAGACTTCTGGTCTTGCTGGGACCCAACTCTGGTGCAAAAGGTTAGAACCCTGTCCTCCTGGAGCTGGCTTCCAAGATAATCACCTCTGGGAATGAGTCATTCTGCTGCATGTTTTTAGAGCAGCCCTGTGGGAAGCAGAGCAGTAGGCAAGTGCCAGTACAGAGAAACAAGCAGGGAGGGGCTGGACTCTGGCCACTTCCTCATTAAGATCTTGTTTTCTTTTCATCCTGCTCATTTATAAGCCTTCCTTCATCATGTGTGCCTATCATTAAACTAACATGATAACACTAAGAAGAAAGAGACTCAGGTTTGATTTTTTTTATTATAATGCTGTTTCTGTTGGACCCTTTTAAAGTACTCAAAGGGCTAACGTAGGTTTCTTTTAGTTCCTTCTTTCCTTTTTTAATGTGTCCCCACAGTATGAGTTAAATGGGGGTGGGGAAACTTCTCATTGCAGGTTCAGAGAAAGTATGCAAGTTACATAAGCCTACATAGTCACTCATTGGAGCACAGGCTAGCATCCAAGTTTCTTTAAGTTCATTGTCATAGCTTGTCTTCTTCCTATCCTACTGCCAGGCTAGCTGCTCCTTTTCTATGTTTTAAATGCTATGACAAGGACTGTTGCCTTTTGTTTTCCTTAGAACTGTTATTGGCAAGTAGATCTTTACTAAAATTATCCCAGTCTTATATTCCTCTATACTTTATTGTCATTGTCAACATGAACTTAAGTATTTACTGTGGATAAGACATAGTTGAATGTTGAGGACCTGCTTCCACATCTAGATTTTACCACAACCCATAGGAGAAAAGTACCCCCTGGCTGGCAATCTGAAAGTACTTATGGTTTTGTCTCTTGCAGGTTATATGTTTCAGTTCCTTAGTCTAGGGCCATAATTCTCATTCCTGAGTATGTGTGATAAAGAACCACATGTGGTATGTTTTGAAAATACACATACCTAGGCCTCATCTTTAGAGATTTTAATTGAGTAGATCTGAGGTAAGGCCCAAGTATCTGTATTTTTTTAAACTCCAAAGTGAGCTCTGGCCAGTTTGCTCAGTGGTTAGAGTGTCAGACCATGGACCTAAGGGTCGCAGGTTTGATTCCTGGTTAAGGGCACGCACCTGGGTTGCAGGTTTGATCCCTGGCCCCACCGGGGCTGTGTGGGAGGCAGTCAATTGGTGTCTCTCAGGTTGATGTCTCTCTCTCTCTCTCTCTCTCTCTCTTCCTCCTGCTCTATCTAAAAATCAGTGAGGTGAGGATTTTTTAAAAAAGTGTCTGCTTATAAATCTAAAAGAATTTGAATAAATGGAGGAAGACTCTTTTAAAAATTCCAGAGTGATTCTGATACACAGCCAGGGTGGAGAACTACTGCTCTAAAACAATTTATGAGTAACACATCCAATTTTCAGTGAGGAGACTCATGAGGAGACCCTATGACGTCTCTGTGGACCAGTAGGGAACTAAGGGTGTGGCTACATAGAACTCAAGGCATTCGGGACCAGGGCTCGTCCATCCTCTATGCTGTGCAGCTCAGTCTTTGTCAGGTCACGAGACACACAGAAAATGGTGTTCTGGCACATACAGAAATGGATGATATTTACAGGGGTAATAGGGGTAATACTAATCTGTTCCTGGCTGGGGGTGACCAGCCTAGAGTCTTTGGAAAATCTAGGTCCCCAGAAATGAGGGGAATCAATATCATCACATTGCTAATCTATTAAGGCCCATCACTGGGAAACTATTCTAGAGACATCAGAGTTCTTGAACTGTACCTAAAACTGACCAAAAGCAAGTAAAGCTATTCTCAAATAGGGCAAAGGAATGGAAAGCTAGGGAAGCTGCTGAGGCCAATGGAATCTGGTCATGTGTTTTCACAAAGGAAGATTCAGTGGTAGAACAATGAGCTACAGATTCAGAGCCTGCCATTTTCTGGACAAAATACAGGTTTGAACACTTTATGTCTGCTGTCCTAGGGGGAAGAGGGCAAGAAAATGAGCATTACAGAGCCTCCCTGACTCTGAAGGAACAAGGCCTCCTGAGTAGACTCTTTTGTCCTCCATTCCCTCCTGGTATTCCTCAGGTAGAACAGGGCCCTTTCAGCTCTCCAGTTCAAGTCTAGACATGGCCGTAATAACCCAGATGTCTTGGGGATAGATGTATTGGGGATAGATGACCTGCAGAGTCAGTGTGGCAAAATCAGAACTGTCGACTGTGGGAGCTTTAATGTGATCCATTCTGTGCTGGCAGCTTCCATGAGTGGGGACACAGGGGTTATCCACGTAGTGGAGAAAGAAGAGGACCTGCGGTGGGTGTTAACAGATGGCCCCAACCCCCCTTACGTGGTTCTGCTGGAGGGCTCGCTCTTTACCAGGTAAAAACTGCATGCACCTGCTGGAGACCGCATGGAGAGAAGGGGAGATTCAGGGACCAGTCCTTACACTTAGGAGTGAGAACTTCCCTTGGCTTCCCTGATCTGATCTGGACAGGGTGCTCCTCACAAGGAAAGATGAACCATCAGAAGGAATTATCTCAGTGACCATATAAGTAGAGCTCTAGTGAGTAAGGACCCCAGGGAGGGAGTAGGGGTGCACAGGGTCACTCAGACACGGGGTAGATGAGATTAAGCTCTGAGCTCAGATTGGGTCATAGTCCTCTCAGAAGTTAGAGACAGGAAAGGCAAGAAATGAGTCAACCGGTTGATTCCTTCGAGTCCCCATTTGTTTCCATCCTTGGGGGCAGGATATTGGGCTGCCTGATAACCTTTCTGTCTTCCTTCATGCCATTCCCTTCCTGTTCTAGGAAGGTGATGGAGAAGCTGAAGGGAAGCACCAATCGAATCGCTGGTCTTGCAGTGTCCTTGGCCAAGCCCAGTCCCGCCTCAGGCTTCTCTCCTAGTGTGCAGTGTCCCAATGATGGGTTTGGTAAGAGCCCCAGAGGATCTGCGGAGCCTACTGTCACCCAGAGCCCCTTGTTGCATCAGTCTCGTGTCTTTGTGTGTGTGTGTGTGTGTGTGTGTGTGTGTGTATGTGTGTGTGTGTGTGTCGGGGGGGGGGGGGGGGCTGTCTATGTGTCATGCGAGCAGCTGAATCCCGAACAAAAGATTGTGTTTCTTGGTCTTTGCCTTCACCCCTTCCCTCTCCTGCTTCCCCTTCTTCCACTACCCTTCCATTCTCGCTTTTTGTCGCGCACTCAGATCCCTAATGGCCAGCCTGGGGCTCCCTGATACCAGTGTCTATTTTATTGTGGGTGGTGACAGGTTAATGCTGCTTCTTTGAGCCCCTATAATATCTTAGCCTTCCTCATCCGGACCCTAAGTGCTTGGTGCCCCAACATCCTATCCCTCTCCCCCTCTTCAGGTGTTTACTCGAGCTCCTATGGGCCAGAGTTTGCGCACTGCAGGAAAATACAGTGGAACCAGCTGGGCAATGGCTTGGCTTACGAAGATTTTAGTTTCCCCATCTTTCTTCTTGAAGATGAAAATGAAACCAATGTCATCAAGCAGGTATTGACTCTGCCAGCTCCTAGCAGTTCCAGTTAGAAAGAGTTATTTTTTTAGGCTCTCCTCTTGTTTGGAGGGAATCTCATTCCTCTGAAAGACAGTTGCTTCAAGAAGAGCCAAGACATGTATTGTTCTCATGCTTCCCCTCTCCCATTTCTCACCTGCCTTCATTGTGTTAAAGGTTTTTAGACTGGAAGACAATGTAAAGGATAATTAACATGAAACAAGGTATAGAGCCCACGTGAAGAACCCCTAGTGTGATAAAAGGAACATTGAACTAGAAATTGAGAGATTCGGTTCAGTCATTTCTGAAGTTCTTTTCAGCTCTGATGTTCTCTAATTCTAGTCTGGCGTCTTCATTCACACAGAGCAGTTAGATTCATCCAAAATTACATGGTGAGGTGATGTCCAAGCCGTCTTGAATTTGATGTTTAATTTCCAGTTCAGTGCTCTTTACCTCAAATCACATTATGAACAGTGGCTGAAGCCCCAAATTGAGCCAGGTCATTTGATACAGGTTAATGTCATCTGCCCCCTCCAGCTAGCCATCAAGTCTGTGCCCCTTCACACCTCTTGATGAGTTTTTCTCTTTGACCTTATAGATCCTGTGGTTGTACCAGACACCTGTAGCTCAGGGAGAGGTGTTGGAGAGGCTTCAGGATAGAGCTGGGCCCTCCTCTTTCTGGGAAGTATGGGAGGGACTCCCAGCTAGCTGCCTCAGTGGGGTCCATCTCCCCTTCTAGTGCTATCGAGATCACAACCTGAGTCAGAATGGCTCGGCGCCAGCCTTCCCACTGTGCGCCATGCAGCTCTTCTCACACATGCACGCTGTCGTCAGCACTGCCACCTGCATGCGGCGCAGCTCTATCCAGAGCACCTTTAGCATCAACCCAGGTAGGACAGATCCGAGGCATGCTGGGTGGACTGGGTGGGTCGGGGGTCAGGGGACCAGGCCAGGGAATGCTGGGACGGAGTGGGTACAGGCAGGGAGCACTGGTGGGAGAAGTGGAAACCGTTCTCAACCATTGCAACTTGTCCCTGAAGTGGATGGTGGCAGAGAAACCAACATGGAGCCGTGGAGACAGAGAACGTGCCTCATAGAGTCGTGGGGCACTGGTCAGAGAGGCCTTCCATACTTTCTTTTTAGCTACCTTCTCCCTTACACCAGTTGATGTCTCACTGTTTGTGTCCTGCTCAGAAATCGTTTGTGATCCCCTGTCCGACTACAACGTATGGAGCATGCTTAAGCCTATAAATACATCTGGGACGTTAGAGCCTGATGACAGGGTTGTGGTTGCTGCCACCCAGGTAAGTGTTGTCTCCTGATCAGAATGGGCAGGGCTGGCACAGAAAGGGCAGGCAGGCCTCTGTTGTGCATATCAGGTTTCAGAGTTGCCACAGTGGGGAACCTCAAGTGGAGAGGGATCTGGGCTGTGGGACTCTGGACTTCAGGACATGAGTATTTACTTGACTGAAACAGGAGAGAGGGCCTGGGGCCTGGTCCTGATTTCCATTTTCAAAGTGTACTTCCCTGCCTTTTCTCCTGGACCCAGCTGGACAGTCGTTCCTTTTTCTGGAATGTGGCCCCAGGAGCCGAGAGTGCTGTTGCCTCCTTCGTCACCCAGCTGGCTGCAGCTGAAGCTTTGCACAAGGCACCCGATGTGACCACCCTGCCCCGCAACGTCATGTTCGTCTTCTTCCAAGGGGTAAGGCCTCTCTGGCTTGAGTTGGAATGGCCAGGAATTGAGGCTGGGGGATAAAGGTGGGAGTGGCCACCGTTTGGGGAAGATCTCTATACTTGACTCAAGTTGTTATTCAGCAGAGAGCTTCTGGATGTGTCTACATATATATCCCCTTCAGAGTCCCCTGTTGTAGGAAGGCTCTGCATCCCGCCCGGGAAGGGTGCTTTTATTCCCTGCACCCTTTACTGTCACCTCCACTCAGGAGCCCTGAGGCTCCTGACTCTCACTCTCCCCATAGCCTGGCCCTGGAATAAGGGAACAGCAGCTGTGGCTGAGTTAATGGACAGATGGGGGTGGGGGGGCACACAAGAAGCAGCACATAGCAGCTGATGTTTGCCTCAGGCCTTACTGAGGCCGCTTTACCCATCTATAAGCTCAAAAGTCATGTGATACAAACATGTGAGGGATGGTCATAGCTGGGAGGCGAGGTAGGGAGGAGGACAGTCACATGACTGCAAATGCTACCCAGCAGTTTAGATGCCATGAGACAACAGCTTTGTGCTGAGAGCTTTGATCTAGCCCCAAGGAATCAAGGCTGCCCTAACCCTTTGGAATCTCTGTTCCCTTTCTCACCCATCTCTACCCCTCAGGAAACTTTTGACTACATTGGCAGCTCCAGAATGGTCTATGATATGGAGAAGGGCAGGTTTCCTGTGCCGTTGGAGAACATTGACTCGTTCGTGGAGCTGAGACAGGTGTGCAGCATGTGTCTTCGCCCCTTCCTTTCCACTTTTCCTTTTGTTCTGTTGTCCTCAACGCAGGTTCTGCCTCCTCTTCCCTTGACTTCTCTTTTGATCCCACTCCTTTCTCCCAGAATGACAGACTGATTATGAGTGTTGCTTCTTCATCCTTCCCCCAGGTGGCCTTAAGAAATTCCCTAGAGCTTTGGATGCACACAGACCCTGTGTCTCAGAAAAATGAATCAGTACGGAAGCAGGTAATCTGAGATCTCTTTCCTCACTTTTCTTTTCAGCAGCTGAGAATACAGGCACCTCCTTGCTCTGGCCCTATCTCTGCCAGCCCCCAGGGCCTGTGAGACAGGACCTTAAGTTGGGTGTTGGTTAAAGGGTGGACACCGTGGCTGTTACAGCTCCCCAGCAAGATCCATGAGCTCACTCATGTTGCTGGTTCCGTGCGATGGGTAGCTCTCTGATCATTTGGTGCCTAGCAACTCTTGCTGCCCATTGAGGACAGGGTAGTGACAGGGCTGCCTTCTCTCACTGCTGCCCCACAGGTCCAGTTGTCCAGGCCATGCTGCCCCATTCTAGCATGTCAGAGTCCCAACCCAAAATGTCCTCCACTTTCCTCACTACTTGTTCAAGTTCCTGCTTCCTCTCAGTGTCTAGCTTTAGGCCTTTTTTCCTCGAGGTCTCTTCCTGCCATTGCAGCTTTAGTGTTATCCCTGCTCTGGGCTCCTTTACCACCTGCATTGCTGGTTTTGTGTTATTATTTGTCCCTCCAACTATGCACAACAAATGAGTGAAGCATCAACTGAGGATAAGACGGAGTTCTGAGGACAGTTGGGTTTACCTATAAATTTGAAAGACACAGGCCTCTTCCTTCCTTATGCAATAATTTTGAAAGGGTGGTAGGAGCTGCAGGAAATTCAGGGGGCCTTGATCCCAAAATCCTTGAGGAATTTCTATCTAGGAGGGTTTAAGGCAACTCCCCGAGCTGAAGACTTGAAGTAGAACGCATTTCAGGCCTAAAAGACCTCCCGCTTGCCATTCCCCAGCCGTGAGTTAATCTCCCTTGCCCTTCCCCCAGGTGGAGCATCTCCTGACCACACTGGAGAAGAGTGGTGCTGGTGTCCCTGCTGTCGTCCTCCAGAGGCTGAGCCAGTCCCAGCCTCTCCCACCATCATCTCTGCAGCGATTTCTTCGAGCTCGAAACATCTCTGGTGTTGTTCTCGCTGACCATGATACTGTCTTCCATAACCGGTAAGAGTTACCTGGCCTGCATCCTCTTCCTTCTCAGAGAGAGTGTTCTGCAGTCAAGGGTCCACAGAGAGATGTCTTCTGTGTCCAGAAAGATCATTGCTCTCCCCTGTCCCCACACTACCCTCTCCAAAGCCTCAGCTCAGTTTGTGTTCTTGGTTCAGTGGCCTATTCATATCTATCTTGGTCCCCTCACTTGACTGATGTTCATCTTAGAAAACAATTCTTTCCTGTACAATTTTCCTTGCTTGTGATTCCTCCTCCCCAAGCTCTCTAGGGGCCCAAATTCCCCAGGGCTGCCAATGGAAGGTGTTATCTCAGATAAGTGCTGGATTGATGATAGGGTTCTTTTTTAAAATTTCTTTTTCTTTATTAATTTTAGAGAGAGAGGAAGGAAGAGGGAGAACAGAGATAGAAACGTTGATGAAAGAGAACATTGATTGGCTGCCTCCTGCATGCCCCCCACTGGGGATCGGCCCATAACTTGGGCATGTGCCCTGACTGGGAATCGAACCTGCGACCTCTTGGTGCATGGGTCGACGCTCAACCACTGAGCCACACCAGCCAGGTGATGATAGGGTTCTTAAGGTGTAGGACAGAGAGCCGTCCTGTCTGGGGCCCACCCAAGGATGCTGCACACCATACTCTGAAATTCGCGTGTTCTTGCCACGTGGTGAGTGCATGTGTTTCAATGTGAGGGGTGTAGTGTCCTTCTACAGCTGAGGGAGCTCCAGAAATGAGAGGTGAGGCCTCTTAGTCACCTCTCTCCTGGTCCTAGGTACCTCGAAACTTCCTCTAACTTGAGCACTGGGCTAACAGGGACTTCTTACTCAATCTGGACTGCTAAGCCCCTAGCCCCCCTTCCTTTTTCAACAGGTCTAAGGAATTTGAGTGAAAATGCTTAAGCTCTGGTTCTCCCACCACAGCCAAGTAGCAACTTCTTGTTTATTTGGGGCAGTGACAGTTCTGATGCATTGGGTCAGTTCTCCTCCCCCAGGTTGTCATCCATGCTACTTCAGGGTGAGGGGGTGATTCATCATTTGGACACATTTTGGACTTGTGTGGCTGACTTGAGTCTGTATGGGATAGGTATTCACTGATGGTAAAGGCTGGGAGTGTTCTTCTCTTAGCCTTGCTTCTAAGATCTGTCTCCTTGGGGCTCCCCAAGGAGCATTGGGGTGGTTTGACCCAGTGTGGTCTTATACATCTGTGAACATGTGTGCTAATCCCCCTCTATTTCACCCACCTTTAATATCTGTTCCCTGGAACAATCACATGTTGCTCTGATGATTTGTGGCAGGTGCCACTGAAAGTCAGGTTAGCCATCCTCCTGTATCTCCAGCCCAAGAAACATGAAGATCTTACGTTTAAAGATCTCTCGGGGAGGAGATTCCTGCATTCTGATTTCGTTCACCTTTTCTGCCCTGTCTGTCGGGAAGTCTTTGTATCTCACTAACCACTGCTGCCCTCACTCTCACCTTCCCACTCTCCACACCTTCAGATCTTAGTCTCTCTACCCTTCCAGGTCAGTGGACAATGACATACCAAGTTGCTGCATAAGGGGCATTTGAGGGAGGGAAGGGGCCCTGGCTGAGTGTAGCCAAGGCTCATGTTGGTTTTCCTGGCAGCTATTACCAGAGTGTTTACGACACTGCCGAGAACATTAATGTGAGCTACCCTGCATCGAAGAGCCCTGAAGAGGACCTGGACTTTGTGACAGACACTGCCAAGGTAGCACTGGCCTGGGCTGGGTGGGAGCAGGGGGGACACAGTGAAGATGGTTAGAATGTTACCATTCGGCCCCCACTCCTCACCTACCACAGGCCCTTGCAGATGTGGCCACGGTGCTGGGACGAGCACTGTACGAACTTGCAGGAGGAACCAGCTTCAGCAGCACTATTCAGGCTGATCCCAAAACAGTAAGAACAAATGGGCCATGGCTCCTTTCTGTCCATTTATACAGCACGCTGCCCCAGCCTTTATGTCCCTTGCCTGGTCCCCACACCTTGGAATTCAGCATGCCCGTGTGTGTCTGTGAGGGACACCTGATGCCCCAGAGAGCTCTCAGCTGGGCCTCATCTGCACCCTCATGAGCCAGCCACTGCCCCTCTAACTCCAGAGTCTATCTGGCCAGTCTGGTTTCTCCCCGATGACTGGACCTCCACTAGTCACTCTGTCCCTGGGCTCCAAGTCACAAAGTCTCTGTTCTCACTGTCACAATTCTAGGTTACCCGCCTGCTCTATGGCTTCCTGATCAGAGCCAACAACTCATGGTTCCAGTCTATCCTCAGGCAGGACCTAAGGTCCTTCTTAGGTGAGCACCAGATGTGGGAATGGGACCCTTTGCCAAGGAAAGGGATAGAGATAAAAGTTATCATTTTACTTTAATTTTTACTTTTTTCTTTTTCCTATTTTCCCTCCTTGTTTCCCTTTTTTTCTGTTTCTCTTCCCTGGCTCTGGCTGATCCTGGGCTCTTCCCATCTCTGCCCATCTGCACTGCACCTTCTGTCCACCAAACCCTCCCTTCCCTGTGGTGTCCAATCAGGTGATGGGCCTCTTCAGCATTACATCGCTGTCTCCAGCCCCACCAACACCACTTATGTTGTGCAGTGTGCCTTGGCAAATCTGACTGGCAAGGTGATCAACCTTACCCGAGAGCAGTGCCAGGATCCAAGTAAAGTCCCCAATGAAAACAAGGATGTGAGTGGTAGAGGGTGTCAGAGGTGCCCTGAGGGTCCCTTTCCCTTGGGAGAATTGGAGAATCTCCTAGGCCCAACTGGACCCAAGGGCTTGGGATGAGGTGGAGGGATGCAGCCCTTTGAACTTGAGTGTTGAACAGGCAGTAGCCTGAGAAAAAGGACCAAAGGGCAAAGGGAGTAAGTGAGAAGGGTCGCCTCAGCCCATGCTCTGGTCTCTTCCTGTGCAGCTATATGAGTATATATGGGTCCAGGGCCCTCTGAGCCCCAACGAGACAGACCGACTCCCCCGCTGTGTGCGTTCCACGGTGCGACTGGCCAAGGCCTTGTCCCCTGCCTTTGAACTCGGGCAGTGGGGCTCTACTGAGTACTCGACATGGACTGAGAGCCGCTGGAAAGACATCCGTGCCCGGATATTTCTGGTAGCCAGCAAAGAGCTTGAGGTGAGATGGGGAGAGAGGTGGTGGCAGAGACCTATTTGACCCCTTTCATTTCCCATTTGCCCCAGATTTGCCACAAAACCCTGCAAATCTGTCCTTTGTCAGCTGGTGTGCCCCGTTAGGAAGCTTGTCTTCACTGGTAGTTTGATTCTGTGCTCATTCTGGTGATACGCTCTCATAGAGACTCAGAGGAGAGGCTCCTAACCCTGTGGTCCCCAGGTAGTCCTTCCACAGCCTCGCTCCCACCGGCATTCCCACCTGGCCTGGCTGGATGAGGCCGTCGCTATTTACCAAACACCTGCCACAAGGAAGTCAGTAATGTAATTGCCACCGAGAGTGAGTCATGGGTCCTGCTTTAAGAGGCTTAAAATCTAAGTAATACAAGATAGAAGCAAGAGCAGAGGTACTTTGCTTCTCTTTTATTTATTTTTTTAAATATATTTTTTCTTCATTGAAAAGAAAGTGAGAGGGAGAGAGAGAGAGAGAAACATCGATGAGAGAGAGCATTGATGGGCTGCCTCCTGCATGCCCCTCCACTGGGGATCAGGCCCACAACCTGGGCATGTGCCCTGACCGGGAATCAAACCGGCGACCTCTTAGTGCGTGGGTCGACAACGCTCAACCACTGAGCCACAGCAGCCGGGCTTTGTTTCTCTTTTAAAATGGGTAGACTAAGTCTCCAGATTGCAGAGATGTTGCCTGTGATTGTTCAGTACTTGGTGCTTAGAGCCAGCTCCAGAGTTCTGATGTCCTGGCTCCCAGCCCCAAGCAGCCACCCCAGACTGCACTGAGATGGTCTGAGAGCACTTCTCTCCCCCGCAGTTCATCACCCTGACAGTGGGCTTCGGTGTCCTTGTCCTGTCTCTCATCGTCACCTACTGCATCAATGCCAAAGCTGATGTCCTTTTCATCGCTCCCCGGGAGCCGGGTGCTGTGTCTTTCTGAGGAGAACCCCAGCTATTCCTGCCAGCTCTGTGGTTCAGTTCCTAGATCATTTGTCCCACTGGGACAGAAACCACTAGTTTGTCACTGGAACCTCTCTGGGCCTGGCTCAGAATGGGATTAACATAAAGAAGTGGAACTGCACGAAAGAGACAGTGAGAGAAATAAGTCCCCTCCCCTCCCCAGCTCCCCCTTCCAGGCTTCCCTTTCCCGTGTCTTCTTTCTCCCCACCGCCAGATTCTGGGACGACAAACAAGCTTCTTGCTCCTGTTTAACTCCTAGCCGCCCACCCTAACGTACCTTCTTCAGGATCTCTCCTCTACTCTCCACCCTGCCCCGTGCCTTCCTCTGCTCCCCACCCACCTTCTGTACCTGTCCGCCTTCCTGACCAGGAAGGATGAATGAGGGTTCAATGCAGCAACAACTACAAGGAAGCCCTGAGGAGGAGGACGGAGCGCTCCGTGGGCCGAGCCTGCTGTCCCCTCCCGCCGCTGTCCCCAGGCCCTGAGATGGCGCACCGGGGCAGGTGTGCTGCCGGGTGGGTATCCCACCTCCAGCCCACAGTGCTCATTTGTCATTTTTTAAAGCTGTAATATCTATTTTTGTTTTGTTTTTTTTGTTTTGTTTCGTTTTTTGTTTTTTTGATGTGTGTGTGTAAATATATCGGGTTTCATTAAAATAGACTATCCCACATGACCTGTTATGCGTCCCAGGTTCCCTTGTTCAGTGACTCCAGACTGGAAGTCATGAACTGTTACCTCACTGCTCCGTCCCGGGTCTTCTGGGGCCCACGGAATAAGGCTCCGTCAGACCAGCTGGAGTCCTGAAGGAAGGGCTCCTGCTGGAGCCTTGGAGCCCTGGCTTCTGTCGTAAAAACAATGTTAACAGAGTTTCTTTCCCCCTTTGTGTTTGACAGACATGTCTTTATCACTTTGAGATACTGGCGAGGGTACAGAGATGAAGGGAATACAGCCCTTGAGTAACTCCCAGTTGGGGTGAAGGGAGAGACAGATACACTCCCAATGGGGTGTGATCCGGTGCGGTAAATGGAACAGTTACAGAACATCCCGAGTGCCAGGGTGGCACGTAGCGGGACTGGGGCCGTGGGGTGGCATTTGGAAAGGCTGCACAGAGTAGGAGGCACCTGAAGTGTCATTTAGGCTCACCAGGTGGAAGCACAGAGCCAGGAAAATGATGAGTGACTCTGTGCCCCAGCCATACGCCACATGGATCCGCAGGAGAGGCTGGGGCCAGGTCACGAAGGCCCTTGAGGGGTCTGCCAAGGAGCGTGTCGATGGTGGGCATTTTGTAGCTCAAAACATGAGTGGTTTGGGACTCTTTGGAGACACTGATTTCCTGGGTCTTCACGGAGGCAGTGGAGTGGAGCAGCCCTGCTAAATGACAGGCAGAGACTGAGTCAGCGGAGAGAAGGAACTGGCTGGGGTGACGCCGAAGCCAGCGTCTCCCCTCGCTGCGGCCAGGAGGCTGTCTCCCTCACGCCTGCAGACAGCAGAGATGGAGGAGGACTGGCCATTTTCAAACTCCCAAACCCTCCTCTCAGTTTCCTGTTTGAGCTGTCTACCTTTTCACACCCTGCTGACAGAAGGGGATTATTCTCCAGGTTTCTTTCCAGATTCCCTCAGGGGTAAGTTTGGGGTTCTGGGAAATGGAAATACATGCTGTTGCTCCCCCCACCACACACCCCTGGCAGTCTGAGCTGGAGGAGTTGTGTGTGGTGCTGGCGGGAGCTGAGCACAGCTGCCACCATCGCCTGGGCTGACTCCACACTTCCCTCGGCCAACAGGTCTCCCAGTGGGCAGAGCCCACTTCCTCATCCTGCTGGTGGCTTCAGGAAACTAGCAGTGGCTGGGTACCAGGGAGGGCGTTGAACAGGGAAGCAGAGGGGTGGGTGGAATCCAGGGGACAGGGTGGGCAAGAACGAAGGGACAAGAGGCATAGCCTTCAGGATCCAGGCTCCGGCTCAGGAGTCCGCATCACAGGCTGCTTTTCTGCCTTTCATGCTATCCCACCTCTCAGCACCCACCCCTCCCTCAAAAATGCAGAACCAAAAAACTGGATCTATGGCTCTTGGGGAGAAACAGGCCCTCAGATGACCCACTGGGGCTGCCTTTCTGAGACTGGTCTGGTTCCTCACCAGGTACCTCTGGTGCGCTGGAGACCACGTGGGACCAACTGGCAGCATCTTAGGGCCACAGAGTTTAACTCTTTAGCCTCCCTCCCACTTGCTCCGGGCCTTGCTCACCCCTGTGCCTCTGACATTTATTTCCCAGACCCTCCCTTTCCCAAACGGCTTCCCTCCCTTCCTGCTCCTTCCCACTGATGGCTCACAGGGCACCTTCCCTTCCACCCAGCCTATGCTAAAAGCCGAGTGACTGAAATCCCTGCTCCAGGACCCAGCCTCTGCCTCTTGTGCCATCGCGTCCTCCACACTGATGGCTCCCCTGTCAGCTGGCCTCCTCCCAGCTTCTCTTCTATTTCCCACATCTTGCCCCTGCTCCCAAAGGCCCATCCTGGGAGGTTTCCCATCCAGAGTCTGGTGTTTTGCACTGAGATTCCACCTTACTCAGTAGGACTTGTTTCTTCCAGGGACCATATAACAAGACTTTAAAAATGATGTGCTTGGTCTAACTTATTTGATAGATGGAGGGAAACAATCACCCGGAGGAATGATACGGCTTGCCCAAGGTCACACAGCAAATGGCAGCTGAGACTAGAACATTTCTTCTATCTGCGCTGGCAGCGTGGCTGCAGTAAACATTCACTGAGCATGGCTGTGGACGAGGCACTGTCCCAGCATCGTAAAAGGGTATGGGATAGGCCACCTTCCCTCAGAGACTGAAGCCACAGTCTAGATGGCAGGAAGGGACATGACAGAAGATAGAACGATGAGATGCGGCAGCTGTGCTGTTTTGCAAGGAGCACAAACCCCGACCCAGAGGACAGAGGGTTTGCTTTGGGTAGGGCCAGTAAGGGGTTTCCCCTTGGAGGAAGAGCTCAGGGTCGGATTTTCTGGTGTGCCCTGGTGCTCTGCGTGACTTCGGAAAGGGCACTCAGTCTCCCTCTGGGCCTCAGCATTCTCTATGCAGCGTGAGTCAGGAGCTCTCTGAGGTCCCTCTGCTAGGGCTGACTCTATCTGGTTCCGTGTGGCCTCTCTTTCTCCCTTTCAAACTCCTCAAGGCAGGGCTGATTTGAAAGAATAATTCATGAACTTTCTAAGTTATTGGGATCTATCTAGAGAGGGAGGCCTGAGGGGCACTTGTTATCCTCCAACCCAGAGACAGCAGAAATTTGGGGAAATTGTGGCATAATGCTGCAGAAAAGAGGCCTGTCACTTGCATCCCATCTGCAAAAAAGCCTGGAAGGAGTTGCTGAAAGTTGAGCTTGGGAAGCAGAGACCCTTGCACGGTCAGGGTCTGAATGGGCCTAGGTGGGATTCCTTCCTGCATCCTCGGAGGTAGAGGAACCCCCACATTCTGACGTGAGAGGAGAAGCCATAGCTCTTGTTCCTAGCCAGGGAGAACTGAGCAGGAGTGCAGGGGGTATCTCAGGAGGCCCAAGGTGGTGATGCAACTGTGTGTAAATGTTACCAGCCTCTGGCCCAGGCTGGCTGGCTGCCCAGGGGCCGGGGGCTAGGACCCTAGAGTCCTCACTCTCGCCCCCTCCCCCATCAACGGAGGAGAAGTTCCAGAAACTGGAGGAAAGGAAGGAAAAACCGATGAAAGAGGGTATGGGGCGTGGGGGAGACACAAAGGGGTAATGGGATGTAGGAAGGAGGGATACCCGGTAGGGCTGAGGCAGGAGAGGGAGCCTGGGAGTGCTGGAGGGAGCTGAGCCTGAGGGGAGAAGGCCAGGTGGGTGTGGCTGGGAGGGGAGTGGGCCCTGAGCTGGTGGTGACAGATGGGTGATCACAAAGAAGAGAGCTTCGGGGAAGACAGATGGATGGGGGAGGGAAGAGGAGAGGCTGGGGGTGGGGTGCAGTGGTCGGAGGTCATAATAAGATAGAAGATGGGCTCTGAGCTGCGGAGAGGTGAGTGGAGAGGAAAGAAGAAAGGAGAGGCTGCCTTCAGAGACAAAGGCTTCAAGGCTAGGGGGCCATGGGGCAAGAGGGCTCAGGGCTCGGGCGCTGAAAAGGGGGGCTTCCAGCCAGGCTGACAGCAGAGGCTGACAGATTGTGCAGTTAGCCCGAGTGGAGACCCGCTGTCACCTTCTCGAGGCACAGAGAGGTGGAGACAGAGAAAGACAGACAGAGACCAAGTGGAAGCAGGCAAGGAGAGAACCTCAAAGATGGAGAAGACCCAAGACCTGCAGCTGCTGCCCAGGAACACAAGTGCTCCAGCTTGACTTGTTCCTGTGACCCAGAGCAGCACCCGAGCTCCAGGCCACTCCCAGGAAGGGTCAGGCAGTGTGGCACAGCAAGGGTTAACACTGTCTGCTCTCCTTGCCAGCCGCTTGCCTGGTTGGGTCCCCAGGGCTCCCCGCATATGTCACCCTCTCTCATGCCAAACCCACTGCTTCCAAGCTCCTCAGACCCTCCCCCTACCCTCAAGGACCAGGCCTAGGCCCCAGGGTCTTCCCTACACATCAACCTTTCTTCCCAACAGTCTGACTTGAAGGCTGAGTGGAGATGAAAAGAGATTGTACTAAGCTGAAAAAAGAGAACACCTCTGAAATGCAGAATAATAGTAACCACAGAGCCACTGACACCTCTCCCATCCTGAGCCCTGCTCCTCCCGCTCTCCTTACAGCTAAGACCCCTACACAAGTCCAGGGTCTTCCCCCTCGGCAGGGCTGACCTCCCAGCCTCCCCACCCTCCCGCAATCATACTACCCCCTATACAGGTGCAGGAAACTCCGTGTCACCTTCAGGTCACTGTGCACAGATGCAAAGGTTGCGTGAATACTTCACGATTTACCTGGCACTTTCCCATGCACGGAGTGCCAAAGCCCTATGCGGAAAGCAACACTGTCCCCACTTCACAGGTGACAAAAGCAGGCTCAGTCAGGGTTAAATGACTTGTTCAAGGTCACCAGGACTTAGAGCCAGGTTTGTTGGCCCCAAGTTTAGTGCAAGGAGTGGTTCTTCCCACCACTCCAGGCTTTCAGCTCCTCTTTATCACACATGTATGTTCTCTTTACTCCCCGGAGGAGCAAAAGCTGAGTCCCTGAGTGATGACTGGTGGTGGTCCCCGCGTCTAGGATCCGGGGATGACAGATGCCACAGAAGAGGAGGTGGTCGCAGAGCACACTCAGACCCCCTGCCATCAAACCTCAGCTTGCAGGGGGAAGAGCATGGGCTGGACAGTTCACGGCTGGAAGTTGCAGGTCCAAGAATCTGAGCTAAAGGCCTAAGGGGTGGGAGTCTAGGTGCAGGGATCTGGTTCCTCCCTTCTCCACACCACCCTTCCCTGCCATAGTTCCCTCTGCTTCTATAGCGTCTCTAGGTTCTGCTTCTGTTTCCCTCAATGTCTTACCCTTTGGGGTCAGTAATAGTCCCTCATCTCTGTAGTTCTGTTCATTGTGTCTTCCGACCTTGTCTCTCATCTGGGGTATTTGGGGTTCCTCACAACTCTGGGCTCTGCCTCCTCCGTGTTCATATGTCTCCTTCCTGTCTTGGGGCTTTCCTCAGGACTGTCTCCCAGGACCAGTATCTGCCCATCCCTAAACATCTGTGTTTCTCCACATCTGTGTTTCTCCCAGGTCTGTGTCTCCTTAATGGTTTCTTCTTTTCAGGTATCTCCCCATGTCCCTGCCCCACTCATATCTTGTACCCCTGGGTCTCCCACAAAGCCTTGGCAACCTAGCAATTCTGCTCCCGTCCTCTCTTTTTTGTCTCCGTCTCCCCATGTCTCCATCTCCCTGTGAAAACTCTTCTCCAAATCTGTCACCCAGTGACTGTTCGCTCTTCTCTCTCTCTCTCTGGGTCTCAGTCTCTCCCCATGTCTCTCCCTTCATTTTGTCTGCTGCCTCTCTATCTTCCATGTGTCTGTATCTCTCCTCTCCCTCATGACACAGTCGCCTGAGACTCCCGGTCTCCCAGTTTCTTGGATGGGATAGAGGGCAGGAGGGTGGGGGAGGTAGAATTGTTGTTGCTGGGGGCTCATTAGGTGGAGATTGGTTTTTAATCAGCACCATGGCAATGATGATGCAAGAACTGAGATGCCACCTGATCCCCTGCCCCCCCCCCATCCTCCTCCTCAAGCCTCCTTTCCCTTCAAGCTCAGCCCATCTGCTGGTGCCTGGGCACCTGTCTGGGCCTGCCCAGGTGGGAGTTGCTCCCTCCCAGACCTGGGGGTAGGAACGAGTTGAGGAGCTTGGGGAGGAATTGCAGGACTCCCCTTAGGGAGTGCCTCACCCTGGAGAAAGCCCAGAAAGGGTTGATCAGCAAGGGAAATGGCAAATGCCTCCAAAAGCCTAAACCTGGGATGTGGTCCTACTCAGGTCCAGGCCTGTCACTTGCATTATCGTGCCTAATCTCTGTGGCAACCTAAGAAGCAGCTAGAATTAGCCCCATTTTACAGAAAAGGACAGTTGAGGCTCAATATAACTATGTTACTTGTCAGAGGTCACACCGCTGACAGGGCTTTCTTCCCTGTGGCACACTCTCTGGAGTCCTCCCAGCCGTGGTTCATTCTGGAAACCCCCAAAGGTTCAATGAAGACATTCAACAGCCGACCGAGGGAGAGAATTTCAGATACTGACACCTAACCTGTTGCCTCCCTGAGCTTCCCTTGTCCCAGCTCCTGCCACCCTGCAACACACACACAAACATGCACATGCACGTACACACACAGGCTGGAGGCAGCTGAACTATTGATATGAACTTAATCAATTGCCATTTGCATATAATTTTGTATCTAGTTTTCTTACTGCTCATGAGATGCCCCAGCATATGAGAAGCCTGCCTGGGCTGCCTGCTCTCCTACCCCAGTGTACTTCACTGGTTTTTCCTCTCTCCTCCACTTTGTTTCTCTTAGCCCTGATTTTCCTCCTAAGAGCACCTTATTCCCAGTGGGTCAGGTCGGGATGGGCAGCCTAGATCTGTGTCAGAAACCTTGTTTGTTTTTGTTTTTAGTCCTCACCCGAGGATATTTTTCCATTTTTTGTACAGATAGAGTGGGAGGGAGAGAGAGGAAGAGAGAGAGAGAGAGAGAAACATCGACGTGAAGGGACACATCGAGTGGTTGCCACCCGCACGACCAACCAGGGCCGGGGACAAACTGCAACCGAAGTACGTGCCCTTAGCGGGAACCGAACCCGGGTCTCTCCGGACCGCAGGCCGACGCTCTAACCGCTGAGCCAAACTGGCCAGGGCCTGTGTCAGAAACCTTATCTTGCTTCCCCAGGTGATGGAGTAGGTGGGAGAATGGAGGCTGGGATAAGAAGGTGTAGGGTGGCCCTGGCTGATGTGGCTCAGTTGGTTGGGTGTCGTCCCCTGCACCAAAGGGTTGCTGGTTTGATTCCAGGTCAGGACACATGCCCGGGTTGTGGGATCGTGCAGGAGGCAGGCAATCGATGTTTTTCTCTCTCTCCCTTCCTCTCTCTCTCTAAAAAATCAATAAAATATTTTTTTTTAAAAGGAAGAAGTATGGGGTGATTGAGTTCCAGGGTGATGAGGGCAGAGGCCTGAACAGTTGCCACAGGCAGCATGGCAAGGGGGGTGTTAGTACCAGCTTTATGGAGGACGAGAGCTTGGGGAGGGCAAGGACTCTTGGGTCCTCTTCTGCATCTTAGTGCTGACCACTCGTGCTTTCCTAGGTTTCCCTGTTAGTGCCTTGGGGAGCCTTCTTCCCAGGGAAAGGGAGACAGGGAAAGGAGCTGTTAAAGTCACGCTGGGACTTAGAATGGGACCGTGGCACTAAAACTGAGCTTGCCGGGGGTCTCTGTTCCTGCTGCCTCTGCTGAGAGACGGAGGGGTTCATCTGCGCTCCTGCCCTGGCTCTCGCCCCAGCCCCACCCCTTCCCCAGCTCTCCATTTCTCGCTTATGAAATATGCATGGAGAACAGATGTCCCTGCTCCCCTACTGCCTGCCCCCCCCAGGGCCAGCCCCTGCCCCCAGCTCCCAGGGTGGAGGGGTGGTTCCCAGGTCCCTCTGCCAATGGCTGCCTGGCCTGCTTGTTTAATATTGATGAGTGGGGAGCCTGGGCCAGCCAATGGAGAGCTGGGGGTGTGCATGTGTATCTCCATATATATACACATAGGGCTGGGCCAGCTCAGGTGTGTATGTGTCTGTGAGTGTGTGTGCATGTGTGTGAGTACTGGTGCCCCAGTACCTGGCCAAGCCCACCCCTTCTGCCTGGGTCCTATATCCCCACCATGTGTACCCCTCTCATCTGCTCTGGAGCCTGTACAACCACGCCACGCTGCCCCCAAGAGCTCTAGAAAGCTGGTCACTAACTTTGCAGACGGATGAGCTCTGAGCAGCCTGAGGAGACTGGGGCTGTCAACGCGCCCCTGTCCTGCCAGCTTGGATGCCCTTACAGGGTCCTCCTAGGTAAAGGGGGAACCGTGGGCTGGGGAGGCATGGGCGTGTCCCTCCCACTCTGGCTCAAGTCCCCTCCCAGAGCCTCCCTCTAGTTCTCTCTCTAATGTGTTGTGTCTTTTCCACCCTGCACCTTCCTCTTACCTTTGACTTCTCCCCTTTGACTCTGTGCCTACCTATTCTCAGTCGGGTTGGGGATGGCAGAAGTGAGGCAGGAAGTCATGTCCTGGATGCTTGAAGATGCTGCTGTCCTTGATCCTCGGAGCCTGGAAATTTGAGACCAGAAGTGGATTTTGGGGTGAGGACTTGATGGGTTAATAGACACTGACAGTGGGGCCAGGTGGAGAAGGGGCAGGGGTCAGGTTGGGAGCAGACAGAGCAGAAGGGAGGGCATGGCAGAGCGATCAGGGATGCAGGAACGTGGGGACCGGACAGGGGGAGAATCAGGCTGTGATAGATGTGTTGAGAATCCCACAGCTGGACTCCTGAAGCATGGGGGTGGGGAGTTGGGCAACTGAACATGTACGGGAAGGTGCTGTCTGTGGGGCTTCCCACACTGTTGCCATCCCTTCTCGTTCCTTTGGACCTCAGAATATGGAGTGTGTTCTAAATTTCAGGACTCACCTATTTTCTGTTATTGCTGTATGTGTGTGTGTGTGTGTGTGTGTGTGTGTGTGTGCGCGCTACTCAAATGATGACCTTGCACCCCCCCCCCCCCAGCCTAGTAACTATTTGTTGACTACAGTTGAGCCTGTCTTCTGTGCAGTGGCATGGGGTAAGCTTGGGGGTTCCTGACCCCTGAGAGGGTGTCTGTCAGGCAGGAGAACCAAGGCTGATGAAGGGTGATGGTGACTGTGAGGGAACCTCAGTGCTTCTGTTTCTGGCCGTTAAGTCTGGCTGAACTCACAGTGAGTGGTCCACTGTTCCTGCTTAACACCCCTTAAAGCAGAGCCCACTCCCCAGCCTTCCCAGGTCATGTTCCTGCTACCTTGTCCTGACCTCCTCTGATCCAAGGGACAAGCAAATCTTAGCCAAACCCCATAGTGGTGGCTCCAAGAAGCTGTCCACACCCTCCTCTGCAGGCCATGTCTGAACTGACCTTGGGCTGATTATGGTTCCTCTCTCCAATCTTCCTTGCAGAGGAAGGTCTGAGGTTGAAGTCAGAGCCAGAGAAAAGAGCTGGTCCTGAACAGGGGGATCATGGCCAGAGGAGATACCTTTCCCTGATTCTAGTGGACAGGGTGGTAGGATCTGGTGTCTGTGGTGGCCGTGTTTGGGAGTTGGGTGTGGGCTGAGAGCCACTGAGCTGGGGCAGCTGTGCCGAGCTCCATATGTCCCAGTCCACTCTACAATGGGCAATCTGCATGTTTATTCCAGCCTCCTCCCCACCCCCACCCCCTACACACACACACACACACACACACACACACGGATGGAGAGGGCCCTGGAGGGAGAGGATCACAGGCCAAGGCTTGTAGTTCTCCCCTCACTGATAAAAGTTTAGAGTCACAGCCAACCTCTCTTGGAGCTATGGCTTCAGGGTTGCTCAGTTTTTTTCTGTTTCTTTTCTTGTTATTGTTATCATTTTTAATTATTGTGGTAAAAAACACAACCTAAAATTTAACATTTAAAGTGTGCAGTTCAGTAGTGTTAAGTATATTCACACTACTGTGAAACAGATCTCCAGAAATTTTCATCTTGCAAATCGAAGCTCTATCCCCATGGAGCAACACCTCCCCTTTCTGCCTCCCGCCAGCCCCTGGTAACCACCATTCTATTTTATATTTTTGTGAAAATGACTGTTTTGATACCTTATATAAGTGGAATCATACAATATGTCTTTTTTTTTTTTTAATCTTCACCCAAGGACATGCTTAGAGAGACAAAGAAGACGAGAGAGAGAGAGAGAGAGAGAGAGAAACATTAATGTGAGAAAGAAACATTGATCGGTTGACTCCCCACATGTGCCCCAACCATGGCTGGGAATTGAACCCACAACCTAGGTATGCGCCCTGACTGGGAATCAAACTGGTAAACTTGCAGTGAGTCGTCCACTGCACACTTGCAATGCACAGGATGGCATTTGACCAACTGAGCCACTCTGGCTGGGCTACATGTCTTTTTGTGACTGGCTTATTTCACTTAGCATAATGTCCTCAAGATTCATCTATGTGGTAGCATGTGACAGGGTTTTTTCCCTCTGTAAGGCTGAATAATATTTCATTATATGCCACTCGTTCCTATCCATTCATTTGTCAATGGACGTTTGAGTTGTTCCCATACCTTGGCAATTGAGAATAATGCTGCAATGAACATTGGATGACAGATACTTACCTTTTTTCTGATTTCAATTCTTTTGGATATATATTTCTATATTGTTTTCAATAGTGGTTGCACCATTTTACAATCCCACTAACAGGGTACAAGGGTCCCAATTTCTCCACATCTTCAACATTTGTTATTTTCTATGTTTTTTATAGCATCCATCCTAATGGGTGTGAGGTGATATCTCATTGTGGTTTTGATTTGCATTTCTCTAATGACTAATCATGTTGAACTTCTTTGCATATATTTGTTGGCCATTTGTATATCATCTTTGGAGAAACGTTTTTACAGGTCCTTTGCCCATGTTTTAATCAAGTTATTTGATCTTTTGTTGTTGAGGATCAGTTCTTTATAATATTCTTGATGTTAAGCCTTATCAAATAGATGATTTTAAAATATTGTCTCCCATTCTGTGGGTTCCCTTTGCACTCTGTTGACTGTGTGTCCTTTGATGCACAGAGGTTTTTAATTTTGATGTCCTATTTGTCTTTTTTTGCTTTTGTTGCCTGTGCTTTTGGTATCATGTCTAAGAAATCATTGCCACGTCAATGTCATGAACCTCCCCTCCCCCACCACGTTTTCCTCTAGAAGCTATGTAGTTTTAAGTCTTACATTTAGATATTTAATCCACTTTCTGCTCCATGTCCTCCTCATCACTTCTCCTCCTCCCCTGTTGCTCACTTCCTGAATTCTCTCCCTTCTTACCATCTTTCCTCCTGCTCCTTCACAACGTGTCCACCTGCCTCTGTCCTGCTCTCGCCCTCCCTGACCCCTCCCCTTGTGTCGCCACCCCCTTACAGTACCGCCCCTCTCCCAGTCCATCTCAAACCTTCCTTACGCTCTCCCCATCTCTCAGCTGTCCCTCCTTCCTCCCCATCAATGTCCTCTTCTCTCTTTCAGGCTCCCAACTGGAACACTGACCATGGAACCCTGAAGTGGTTCTGACTTCTTCAGCTCAGTGGCAGACCCCGCCTCCCCAGGCCCTTCCAGCCTCTCCCACAACCAGCTTTCAGGCTCCCAGAGGGAGGGCTGGGAAGGGGATCCTGATCTCACAAGGCAGGGGGCGTCCATCATGATGCTCAACTCAGACACCATGGAGCTGGACCTGCCTCCCACCCACTCTGAGACGGAGTCAGGCTTCAGCGACTATGGGGGCGGGGCGGGCCCTGACGGGGCTGGTTCCAGGGGGCCAGGCGGGGGCCAGACCCGGGGCCTGGAGCCGGGAGAGCCCGGCAGGAAAGACCTGCAGCACTTGAGCCGGGAGGAAAGGCGGCGCAGGCGCCGGGCCACGGCCAAGTACCGCACAGCCCACGCCACGCGGGAGAGAATCCGCGTAGAGGCCTTCAACCTGGCCTTCGCTGAGCTGCGTAAGCTGCTGCCCACGCTGCCCCCGGACAAGAAGCTCTCCAAGATTGAGATCCTGCGTCTGGCCATCTGCTACATTTCCTACCTGAACCACGTGCTGGATGTCTGAAGGCGGCCTGGATGTGCCCTGTCCCGGGGCCTCGCTAGGTGTCTTCTCATCGCCCACTGGCTAGAACAGACATCTCTTTCCTGAGCCCTGTACCTTGGCATGGAGTGCCCCAGGCCCTGGGCCCAGGAAGAGTACCCCACCCCGAGCTGGTCGTGAAGGCAACTGTCTATTACCGACCCCGCATCCCAGGGCTGTTCTCATGGGCGCCTTCTGCAGCTTGTGGTTGGACCCCAGCTGTTAGAAGTATCTGCTTGGAAGGTCGTTATACAGTCCTTGCTGGATTTACTAAGCCCACCACACATGGGTCCTCTCTAGCTCTCTCGAGGGCTGCTGCCTCTTCTATCCCAGATATAAATTTTCAGAGACACACCCACCCATCCTCTTTCCACCCAGTTCCAGTTTCTCCTGCCCCTGGTAGGGAGGGAGCATCAGAACAGGGAGCGGGTAGGCTGGGCTTAGACGGGGATGGGCTTCTTCCTCAGAGATCTCAGGCTAGTTTGGCAAAGGATCCTGGGGAAATAACGCCTGTGAGGGGAATCTCAGTAGCTGACATTAGGGAAAAAGTCTTCCTGTTTTCTATCTTGTTCCTGAGGATGCAGACCTTGGATCGTACTTGGTAGTGAGTGCCTTGCCCTCTCTGGGCTACTTGGTTCCCCTCCCTGCCCGCTCCTACTCCTCCTAACTTTCCAATTTTCTCCCTCCCTGGGCACAGAGCTGGAGAAAGGGAAAACTAGATCCTGGGGTAGAGGATGATGTCTCCAAACTCATCCCAGGGACTGGGCGGGCCAGATCTCACATCTGCTTCCTCTACGAAAATGTGCAAACCCACACCTGTTCCTCCCTTAGATGCAGGGGGGTGCCCCATCATTGACCTCTGGGAGTGCTCAGTTCTCCTGGCCCCAGGGCCTATTTATTACTTTTTTTCTCCTCCTTCCCTAAACTGTTTTCAGTAAGGGAAGTGACCGCTTTCTGCACCCACTACCCACGTAGCTGAGCCCCACATGCTCACTGGAGCCTAAGGTCAGCAGTAGAACAAGGGCCCTGGGACCTGTGTAGAAGAAAGGAGCTCATTGTATTTCCCATGCTCCTCCTCCCGCACACCAAACTCCTAGCTCTACAAGGATATTTATTTATGTATTTATTTATTCATCTATTTATTTATTTATAAATATTACTATTTATTGCCAAGTTGTGCACTTTAGGGTAGAGTGAGGGGGGTCCTGGAAGCCATAACCAGGTCTCTCTTGCTTCCTCCCTAATTACTCCTTTCCCTTTTGTGCTCCTTCTGCAACTGCAGGTGTGTGGGGGGGATCTCCTTTGCTCACGACACCCATATCCCTTTCTCAGATCCATCTGTCCTGACACCCTAGTCCTCTGGGATGGTGCCCCTCTCCCAGCTCCAGGGCTCCCAGCTCCTTCCTCAGCTCCCTCCATCCCCAGATAACCCCACCCTGTTCTGCCTGCCTCTTTTCTCTCTGCAGCCTTCCTCCATGACCCTCACTGATTCCTAGTACCCCTAGAGGTCTGTGTCCTGTGTCCTGTGTATGAATCCCGCCTGTTGCAGTTCTGATTTTATACAAAAAGAAAAATTAAAATGACCTCGTTCTAGCACCAGGTATGGCTTGGATCATTTGATTAGGTTGAGAAGGTGGCCTGAAGGTTAAGGTAGGGTGGGCACAGAGGGTCCTAGGCCTTGATGGCTCTTCTGATGGGTTCATGAGCGCTCAGTCTGGTGGGTAAATGAGGACAGAAAGAAGAAGGGGTCACAGAGTAAAGAGGTGCAGAGGAAGGTGTAACACACAGGTCCCAGACCTCTCCACCTGAAGTCTCATGTACCCCTATCTTGTCACTCATTGAGTGACACTTTCTGATCCCTCTGATGTGCTTCTGCTCCTGCTCTCTATGGGCCTGAGAAGGAGCTGAGTGCCCCAGTGGAACCTAAGTTAAACATGTGTCTGTGCGTCCATGCTCCTGGGAAAAGCCATGGCATGAGACACTGCCTTCCTGTTATTGCCTCCAAGCTGGGTCAGAATTCCTTGCAATCTCAGTTCTTGGTTCATTTTGTATTCCCCAGCCTTAGGATTCTAGGGAGAATACCATGGAGGACCTAACAGGGGTGGGGAAACTTTTTTTCTGCCAAGAACCATTCGGATATTTATAACATCATTCACGGGCCATACAAAATTATCATCTTAAAAATTAGCCTGCTAGCCCTGGCCGGTTTGGCTCAGCGGTAGGAGCGTCGGCCTGTGGTCCAGAGAGACCCGGGTTTGGTTCCCGCTAAGGGCACGTACCTCGGTTGCAGTTTGTTCCCGGCCCTGGTTGGTCGTGCGGGTGGCAGCCACTCGATGTGTCCCTTCACGTCGATGTTTCTCTCTCTCTCTCTTCCTCTCTCTCCCTCCCACTCTATCTGAACAAAAAATGGAAAAAATGTCCTCGGGTGAGGATAAAAAAAAAAAATTAGCCTGCTAGCCCTGGCCGGTTTGGCTCAGAGGTTAGAGCATCAGCCCGCGGACCAGAGTCTCGGGTTCAAGTCCGGTCAAAGGCATGTAACTCGGTTGCTGCTCAGTTCCCGGCCCTGGTCTGGGTCATGCCAGAGGCAACCAGTCGGTGTGTCTCTCTCACATCTCTCTCTCTCTCTCTCTCTCTCTCTCTTCTCTCTCTCTCTCTCTCCCCCTTGCACTCTGGAGATAAATGGACAAATATCCTTGGGTGAGGATTAAAAAAAATTAGCTGCTATATTTGGTGAGGGTAATTTGGTGAGACGTGTGATGTTAGCTGGTATTGATTTCTCAGGCCTTATAAAGCCGGCAGGCCAGACATTCCCCACCCCTGATAGGACTAAGAGAGTAATGAGGAAAGGGATAAAAAGGAGTGCTGAAGGAATATCAAATGAATTCTGGAAGGCATCTAAAATCAATTTATAGATGAGGAAACTAAAGCCCAGAGAGGAGGAAGTTTTTGCCCAAGGTCACACAGCTAGTTATGGGCAGAGATAAAGTTCCAACCCAGGTTTTGTATGTTCGCTGCCAAGGACCCTTAGCCTCCCTAAAATGACTTGGCCCTACAGGTGGCACTCTGTGGAATATATCTACATCTATCTATCTATCTATCTATCTATCTATCTATCTATCTAATTTGTTTTAGTTAATCCTCGCCTGAGGATTTTTTTTCCATTGACTTTTTAGAGGGTGGAGGGGAGGTTGTGAAGGGGAGAGAGAGTGAGAGAAACATCAAGGTGAGAGAGGCACATCAGTCAGTTTCCTCCTGTGTGTGCCCTGACTGGACCAGTGATTGAATCCGCAACCCTAGTATGTGTTCTTGACCAGGAATTGAACCCGTGTCCCTTCAGGGCATGGGATGATGCTCTAACCACTGAGCAACACCGGCCAGGGCAAGGACCCCATATTTTAATGGAACATTGATAAACTAGTGAGTATTCAGAATTGTGTGGTCAAGAGGGTAAAGTCCTAGCGACTACTTCACAGAAGGAGTAGTTGAAAAACTGAAGATGTGCGTCTTTACAAGAGTAGATTTAGGGGCAACGTGCTGCCCATCTTCAAATACTGAAAAAAGAAACAAAAACAGACATTCTATGTGGTTCTAGGAGTCAGAACCTGGACCAGTAGGTGGAAGTTATAGGGAACAGATTTAAATTGCAAGAAAAACTTTGCAACACTTGGAGCTGTCCCACAATGGAAGGACCACTCTCAAGGAGGCGAGGTCCAAGTAGACAGTCGGTGATACCAGTGAGCACACTGCTGCCTAGATGGTCTTCAAGATCCTTTTCAAACTAGAGGTGATCTCAGAAGGCTGAAGGCAGACAGTGGGAGGGAAATTCTAAGGTGTCCTTCAGCTTCTGAATGGTGCCATTTCGTCTGTGATGAGCACAGAATGAATGACATCAGCAGCAAGAGGGGTGTGAGTTAGACTGAGGGAGGAGAGTTGATATCTTCCCTTCCCCATCTGAGTTAGATTAAAAGATGCTCTGCCCCGAACATGACAAGAAGGAGGGCGGAACTGAGGCCAGGGAGGATCAGAGGGGCGAGAGTGGAAAGGGAGTACAGGAAGCATTCAACCTGACCCCTTTGTTTTAAAGGCAGGCTACTGCTGTCCACAAGGCTGATGGCACTCACACATGATGGTGGACTGGGACTCGAACCCGGTTCTTCCACTCCTGGCCCCGAGTGCTTTGTGCCTCCCCCTGCACAGCAGCCACAGTCCCCTGAGCTCCCTGCCCCCTCACTCTTCACTTTGCCGAGCTGGAAAGCAGAAGGGGTTACAGGACCCCTCCTCAGGGGTCCCTGAAGGCCTGGGGGTGGTAAGGGCTGGCAGCTGCAGCTGTTCTACCGCTAGCTCCGAATTTCTTCAGATAATCAATTGGCCTCGCTGTTGCTGGGCTCTGAAGGACAGGCAGGGAAGGAGGTGGGAAGTGAGAGGGGGAAGGGAAAGGGGACCAGGCGCTGGGAAAGAAGACTGTCAGGGAAATGGAGTCCCCAGGCTGAGGGACGAGGGAAAGAGAGAGCTCCAGGGCTAACAGACACGGAGGAGGGAGGGAGGGAAGGCTAGCAGAGCCTGCCATCTTGGGGCCTCCGTTTCATCCTCCAAAACCCAGCAAGTGGGCCAGTGGGTGAGGGAGGGGCAGTTTGGGGCACCAGGTAAGGGGGCTCTGGCACCTCACCCCTCCCTTAATTCTCCAGTCCCTTCTCATCAGGTCATACCCCTTGGAGTTGCCCATGCCCTCGTCCACCCCTGGTTACCACAGGCCCTGATCCTCCAGTCCCTTCTGTGGAAATTGCTCCTCTCTGCCCTCCTTCTCAGCAAACCCCACCCCCATGACAGAGCAGACAGCAGGGCCCCTGGGGTTTGAGAGCAGTGGTGGTGGTGGGGGGGACTCTTAGCCACTCCTTCCCCTCTCCCTACCCCCCCCCCCATTTTGTGTAGGCTGCCAGGCAGATGGACCCTTTGTGCCCACACAATGGAGGCCCTGCCTGTGCCCT